TTTTCTAGTTTGGAATTTCAACTAATTTTGGAAGTCATCTTCAGTAAATTGGTTATTATTACTCACATATAGTTTGGTGGTGTGTTGTGAGTCCCGCATGGCATCATGGGAATCTCCATTCATATGTATGACATGTGGTCAGTTCAAGATCTCTGGGGATCCACACGCTTCTTGCTGGAAATGCCATTATGCGAGATGTATGGTAGATGTGACCAATGCGCCACCCTCTCTAAGTCGGCCAACCCAAGCTGACAGACTCGAACCAGAAGGCTAAATGTAAAGAAGCAGCCAAGAACACTACTGACACGAACCCGTCACTCTCCACCATCCCTGCATTACCCTTCGCCGAGCCATTTCCTACCTCTGCGACTCTGAAGCCTGAGCCCCTAGCTTCGCCATCAGAATGTTGGAACAATTGTTTTCTTAACAGAAGTCTTAGTCCCTATTTGATACATGTTTGACTACATTATCGGGTGAGCAGTTGCAGCTGAAACGACATCAAGATGAACAGGGTTAGAAGAATCCCTCTGCCCAAGGGGCTGCATGGGGGACAGGATGAGACTGTAATGTCATTATCCACAGAAACTACATCCACCAAGAAAGCTGCACAGATACCTGAAAGACACAAACAGTCGCCAGGGTGGCTGCTCCCATGCCTTATCAAGCCAAGACTCCCAACCACCACAGTCTCCATGTGGTACTCAAGGGCATCATGCTATGAATCTACTGAGCTCGGACACTCTTCCCACCATGATGGGACCATCCCGGCCACTGCACAAATCCTACATGGACACATAAACTGTGTGTACCAAGTCATCAACCGTTCTAGATGCTGGTCTTGCACAGACTTCAAGAAAGCTTCTGGTATTCACTACTGAGACGCTTGCCATCGGCAATCCGATCAGGTTTATTGACAGCCAACATACCTGTCGGGTCACCATTGGATAAGCCGCACAGGGACTGCATGGATCTCATGGACCTTACCAACAATATTCGTCACCATGCCTCCCTACTGGGTCTTACTCACATGGTGACTGCTTTCCCCTGCCTTTTATAGCATTTATAACAGACACAAGACTGTCTCCTCTCCCAGAGTTTTAAGTACTGGATGATTTCTTCAAACTAGTCCATACACCTAACACCTAAGTTACTTTGCCCTCAGCACGAATCAAGGAATTCTCCGTGGCAAATAAGCACATAATTGATGGTCGCCATGCCCTCCTACTAGTACAGGACTCTTATGAAGGAATCTCTGGAGATACACCACTCACTGTCAGAACAGACCAAGTCGGTTTGATCCATAGCCTTCTTGTCACCATTGTACGGATGCATGAAGATTATTATCTACCCAAGGAAGGATGTCATCTCAGCTACTATGTACCCAGAGACAGCAGCTCCTTTCCCAAATTCACTTAAGATGAGTCTCTGATCAATCAAGGAGGATGGTTATTTCCATCCTATTACAGCAACAAAAGTCTTTCAAGACAAGCTTGCCAAATTCATCTAGGAAGTATGACAAGACACAACAGAACATTTCAAAGTATCAACAATTAATCTGGCAGTAAATGCTCACAGTTCAGCTTTCCAATCCAAATGCCCAAAGGAGCCTACTCGAGACATCTCCTTCAGAAAGCCAGCTTTGAAGACATTTGTACCATCAGGGAAGGATTCTTTTCAAGTCAACTGTCTGAAAGAGCGATCACTTTGTCAACTCTGAAACCCCCATACAATCAAATTTCTGATGTAGAGTAAGTAACAGACAGGATCAAGATACGGATGTCAAGGCGATCGACGACTTCATACCTCCCATCATTTTAAATCCTGTTGACTGGCTTTGTCTACTAACTCAGATTTCATCTATCATTTTTAACATAATGCTGACCCTGGGTCCAGTCATACGCCTAAAGTTGGAAGCAGATAAGGTCTGACTGCTGGATTCTCGATACAAGGTACACTTCCAAAGTAACCCTCTTTTTGTATCCCTGCCAGTAGGCTGAATATTGCATCTGGATCAAATTAGAGCCAGCTGATTTTACAAGAAAACATGCCATTTTGAGACTACAGTATACTGATCACAGTTTGTTTTTTTCCTAGGTATTCTTACATTACAGTTTGTTACATTCAACCCTCAGAAGAGGTGATTGGTTAATCAGCATTGACCTACAAGACAACTATCTCCATGTATTTCCCATCATCAGTTTTGCCCAGTACAGTTAGTCTGCCTTTATGGTTTTCTGAACGATTTCCTAGTGGCAGGGCCCAGCTCAACTGATGACTCATCTTTGATTCCTTATCCATCCAACCAAGTCAGAGATAGTACCAGTACAAGACACTGTCCTTTTGAGACTGATGTCAACTATTAGTTGGATGTCTCTGTCCCCCCGAAGATTGTTTTCTCAAGGCATTGATGACTATCAACACTGTATCAGCTTGTCCCACTCGCTCTCTTCGATGGTGGATGGCTCTTCTAGGGAACCTTATTTCTCCCTAAGATGTGACATACAGATGGAGAATGAGATTACGTGAACTCCAAAACTGAATCAACTCACTGAGATCTTGGACCTCAGACTCACTTGTACAACTGCCACGCAACCTGATACTGGAGCTCTAATTGGTGGACTCTAATGTCTTGCCGATGCCTGAACATCACCTTTTCACTGACGCCTCCGACTGGGGTAGGGGAGCCCACATGGACAATCTCAAGATTCCAGGCTTTTAAAATGCTTCTGAGAAAGAACTCAACATCAACTGCCAAGAGATGAAGGCAATCTTTCATGCCCACAAAACTTTGAAATCTCATCTGTTCCTCTTCTCAGTCCTTATCACCACGGAAATCCAGCTCGTTGATGATTCTTTGCCTTGGCAGACTCCATCAACTGCCAGATGGAAGCGAGACATATTCTCGGGAAATTCAACATCCTAGCGGACAGGCTTTCTCATCGAGGGATAATAGTGACAACAGAACGGTCACTTCATTTGGAGGTGTTTGCCCCTGGATAACATCGCAATGGGACACTGCACATATGGACCTGTTTGCAACCAATTTGTACAACTAACTGCCAGTATATGTCAGCCCATTGCCGGAACCGATGGCTATCAAAGTAGATGCATTATAAATGGAGTTGACAAGTCTATTTGTGTATGCATTCCCACCATGGTCACTCATAGACAAGGTAATTCAGAAACAAGAGAATACAGATTGTATGACCACCCTGATCGCCCAAATGTGGCCAAGCAGGACATGGCTTTCCAGAATATTCCCACTACTTATGGAGGATCCTTTGTCAAGATTTTCTTTGGCAACCCCGGTCAGGCATATTCTACAACAATTTTCCCAATATTCATTTAACCACCTAACAGCTGTTCCAAAATCATGGAGACAATCCTCCTCCCTCTTCTATGACAAGTTCAACCAGTGGAGACGACGACGAGGTTTGTTAAATGAAACAGTAACATATCCTTAGTTGGCAGAGTCCCTTTTACATCTCTGTCCAGTCATAAAGTGTTGCCATGGCACCATAGAGGGCTATATATTATCACTTCATTCTGTTTTACAGCATGTTGGACTTTCTAATGGGAATCATCCTATTCATAAGAAACTTATGTGATCTATTCTTTTGTAGGATTATGATCACCCGATGTTCTTCCCAAAATGGAACCTGTCAGTTGCACTATCTGTTCTACTAGCAGAACCTTATGAACCTCTTGCTAAAGCTACCTTGATTCAGAAGTCATGTACTGAGCTTTTTCTTGCTATGGCTACAGCAGCTAGAGTTTCAGAAATTCATGTCTTGAACTATTCAAATCTTACTCATGCTTACAACTGGAGTACAATTACTGTCAGATCGCTCAGAGTCTGTGTCAGTGGCACATGTAGTATCCAGCTGCCACATTCACTAGCTTCTGTCTTTGTGATGTACAACCTGATTTACATGGGACATATTCCCTTTGTCCTATAGTAGAAACCCAAACTGTCATCTCCAAATAGTTTTCTTCCAATATTAATAAAAAGGAGAGGAAGCAAGGATCCAACACAAGCAGCTTCAGAAGGTAAGCAGACCTTTTGCTCAATATTACCTACTGAGTGTAGGATTGACCAAGGGTCCATAACTGCATCAAGCCTGAAGTCACAAGCATTTGTATCACTATGACCAGAAGTGAAGTCATAACCAGAAGGGACATCATTATCAGAAGTAACATCGTAGGCGGAAGTAATGTCATTTGGAACTGGAAATAACGTCACAGTGATGAAGTGACATCATAGACTGTAATAAGAATTCAGTGAAAGCACAGTATAGTTTTCCTTTGTGCAAAGATAAGTACTTGTTAATAATAGTTAAGTATACTACCTCCATGCCGTTGGAAGTAATCCCTCACACCTCCCCAATCATCAGCATCTAGTGAAAGAAGTGAATATTTTACCGCCCTTGCACATGGAAGAGCTATAAGCTGCTTTGTGATATTAAGGGTACAGCTTATCATGTCTTTTGCTTTTCAACAGTGCACACAATTTGACGTATTATCTTTTACAGTGGTGATCCTCAGCAAATTTGAGTAGTGTAATAATTGGTTTGTTTGATACCCACAATTACAATGTTGTAACCATTTTAAAAGAATTCTATATTTTTCCTCTTAATGTTTTTATTTTTTACCTCTTGAAAATTAATGCACATGCTTGGAACCTTGCTTCAAGTCAGTAATTGTGTGCAGAGACTATAAAAGGAAAGGTTGTCGGTATACAGGAAAATCTGGGAATGAAATTTACTATTTCATCTGCTGGCCAACTAATGAAAGCGACATATAATCTGAACCTCATTCATATTAAGTTATTCTCTAATTACATTCATGGTTGCTGATTAAGAAGTATTGTTCAAATTTAGTACATTCATGATTTCATGTACACATTCAGGTGGGTATACTACTGCATTAATGTTATGATTGAACTAAGATATTAGTTTCTACCCAACTTGATATTTCCTCATGATGAGCATTTTGTGCAGGTCTGGACTTGGTGGATGTGGGCCTGGATGATGTTACACTACGTTTGAGCAAGCAAGCAGTCCGAAGACACCTACAGTTTGCATTACAAGCTCTTGTTGCAGTATTTGGTAAGTAAAGATTTACCATCTGAGTGAAAATGATTTGTTTGTTTGTTTGTTGTTTAACGCCGCACTCAGCAATATTCCAGCGATATGACGGCAGTCTGTAAATGATCGAGTCTGGACCAATCCAGTGATTGACATCATGAGCATCGATCCACGCAATTGGGATCAATGACATGTATCAACCAAGTCAGCGAGCCAGCTGACCACCCGATCCCGTTAGTCGCCTCTTACGACAAGCATAGTGAAAAAAAAGCATAAAGTGATGTAGTCCTGATTGTCATCTGTTTGAAACAAATGTATGTACATTTCATAACTGATTTGGAGGCAATACAGTGTTTCCTGACTATTTCCTTGCCCTTCAATATAAAGCTCAGCTGGTTATAGTGAGTTTAACCCATGACTCCAAACAATTTACATACATTTTTAATAAACTCAAGTTTTATACTGACACAATGTTTATTCACAATGGCAAGACATTAACAGCTTATTACCATGAGCATGTAACACCTGAAACACCCGTCAACAAATCGAAACAAATGAAAAGTGTTCATTGTATATCTAGACTTGTGTTTGTAATTTATTTTATTAATTATATTATAATTTCATTCACTATTATTTAAATTAATCTTGGAGAAATTGTGCACTGACTCACCTTTATTTACAACAACCACGATCAGAATACAGCCATTGGTGCCTTGAAATCAACCTTAGTGGCACATATATATCCTATATGCCATACTTTGACTCGTTAAAAGTCATAAACATAGCGTTTTGCAAGTGAAAAAATGTAGCAAAGGAAACCTCTATGCTGACTTGTCAAATTGTTCCATGTGTAAAAAATATCAAGCTCTATCAGTCAGTTGAACCAAAGTGCCATGCTTATGGTTACATTTGTTTGAAATATATAGTATAAGCTGCAACTACAATTACACGCCTTTGGAATATATTATTCCTGATAAAATAATAGTTTCAGATACAATAATTCTTGTGAATACCTCACCTCTATTACATCAGTTGCCATAAATTCCTGTTTATGCTGAGAACCACACTATAAATTTTTTATAAATTTTCAACAGACGTCCACTACACTGCCAACATATCCATAGTTGTGAGGGAAACCCTATCCCTTGCCAGGGGCGCCACTGTGCATGCGCAAGGCGGCAATCTAGTCACTTCTTTCCTGTGTGTCCAGATGACAACAAGGAAATTTTTGTTGTTGCACATCCGAACACGTGATTCAGTTCCACACTTACAAGCATTAGATCTTATCAAGCTTCATAGACTACAAGCAGTGAGCAGTTCTACAAAGCAGAACAGGGGTATAGAAGATCGGAGTCTATAGTAAGTAATTAGTTAAGAAAAGTGTTGTGGGATGAGATCTTCATCTCATAAACAGACGGGGCGGTCGGGTAGCTAAGTGGTTAAAGCGTTCGCTCGTCACGCCAAACACCCGGGTTCGATTCCCGACATGGGTACAATGTGTGAAGCCCATTTCTGGTGTACCCCACCGTGATATTGCTGGAATATTGCTAAAAGCGGCATAAAATCAAACTCACTCACTCACACTCAGTCATAAACAGACACCTGTCTGTTCGGGCTGTGGACAACACCAAGCTCCCAGTGATCCTCACCCTAGATGTCTCGCATGCAAGAAAAGCAGCTGTACACAGAAGTCAAGGTGCAGCTATTGCGAGCATCTGTCAAAAGAAAAATTTGACAAGCTCTTCAAGGCATGGATCAGTAATCCCGATTATAAAAAGGTCACTAGAGCATCAACATCAAGAAAACAAGTGATTAAGCCCTTGGCGGCCAAATCACGAGGGTGTCAAGCGAGTGTCGCGTGAGGGCGCAGTCTCACCTTATGAGGAGAAGAGACCCCGTCGCTAATCCCACTCTCCCAATAAAGTTGAGGAGCAGATGCATTTTACCGGTCAAAAAGAAAGTGCCTCTAACTTGCATCAGGCAACGTCTGGTACCGTCGATCATCGAGTTTGGCCAGAAACTAACGATTTTCACCCTCTGTCGCGTTCCCCCTTTAACTTAAATGAGTTCACGGAAAGATTAACAAATTCAATGTCTGTTATGATTGACACACGCATGCAATCTATGTCTCGAGATATCTCAAATCTAAAAGAATCAGTAAATCAAACCTGGCTTGGCCAATCAGGGATTGATTACGAGAGTAAACAGAGATCTAAGGCTGAATATGACAGTACCCCCTCATACAGCAGACAAGGTTACGCTGAATCAGACTATGAGGACAGTACGAGAATTATACTAAGAGACCGAGAATCTCATAGATCTTCTCCCTACCATGCACACCACAGGGCACATCGTGAATCACGGTCTTCACATCGCAGTATGCACAGAAATACGCACCAATCACCCTCAAGCCACTATGATAGACGAACTGACAAAGCTCATGCATATCAGGATAGTAATCCTAAGCGTGCACCATCTCATACTGTCACACAGTCCAGTTATTCGGGCAGAGAAAGCGAGGGAAATATGACATCACCATACAGTTATAGATCATGTGATTCCCGCACAGCTTGCCGTAAATCAGACGACCGGGATTACGATACCTCAGCCATACAACCCACTCCCAGCGCAGCCAGAGTAGGGGGTGCCGATCTACAGCTAACACTGATTATTCATGCTATGGGGACACTACTATGGAGGATGATTATAGACCAAACAATTACTCTCTTAGAGATATTTTAGCAGAACTTTATGAGCTAATGCCCTCCTTAAAGCCAGATCAGGACAGTACCCCCAATAAAACCCTTGATTGAATGTGCAGGGCATGAGGGACCCGTCAGGGGGACTGAACAATTCCATACCCCTCACCGGCCGTCATATATGGATGACGTCATCAAGAAAACTGAAAATCAATTGAATTTTGCAGCGGGAACTAGTGCTAGACTGAGGCCTATTTATAATAAGTCTGCTTACAAGACACACGATGATCCCTTCGCACTACAGCCTAGCATTGAAGAAGATTACTTCGATCTGGTTAAGAAACCTAACCCCAATATGCGCATTGATATGGCCAAGATCAAGAACTTAGATAAAGTCAACAAACACATGATTAATATCAAATGACTCCGGAAATGACTCAACCATGAATCTACAGACCCGTCCAGATCCTACCGACTTCGCCTGCCCTACGGACAACGATTTAGAATTATGGAAGACCAAGGACACGACAACACCGAATCCAGTCGAACTAGCCAACCTCACAGACATCGACCCAAGACTACCCAAGTTCAGATCTCACCCTATTCCGGGACCAGTCGGAGGCCGTCTTATGCAGTACGCAGACAACTGGAAGACCATCACAGACGACTCATGGTTACTCGAAGTAGTAAGAAGAGGCTCCAATTTCACTTCTTAAAACGACCAAAACTAGCCATCCATCCTACCGGACCCCGATTCCAGCTATCAGGACCAAAGTTAATTGCAGCAGAAGTGGCCATACAAAAACTACTCACAAAAGGAGCTATCAGCACCCTAAAGGAGTCAGACACCACTCTCGGATTCTACTCCCCAGTATTCCTGGTACCCAAGAAGAATTCTTCAGAGATGCGTTTAATAATCTGAACAAAGATTATCTGGAAAAACCACCCAAGTTTCAGATGGAATCTATAAAGAAGCAGATTGGATGATAAGCATAGATCTCCAAGACGCCTATCTTCACGTCCCCATCCATCCAAGTCATCGGCGGTACCTACGCTTTGCTGTCAACGGTCAAAGATACCAGTTCAGGGTTCTACCATTCGGCATATCCATCGCCCCATGGTTATTTACCAGGATCACCAATCCCATCATAGGTTTCGCCCATCTAAAGCTCATAAGGCTTCACGGATACATAGACGATTTCCTATTGGCCGATCAGGACAAATCGCAAATCAGTTTAAACACAGTGTGTCTCATCCAACTTCTCACACACTTAGGATTCTTGGTTCACCCTAAAAAATAAAAGCTAGTACCCGCACAGGACATCACCTACATAGGCGCAAGATTTCTACTCAACAAGGGCATAGTAGCACCCCCAGAAGACAGATATGCAAGAGTAGAGCACATGATAACAAGCGCACTTTATCAGCCCATCAAGTCGAGACACTGGTAGATGTCCTGCCTAGGCACGCTCACATCCATCCAAGACCTAACCTACAGAGGCAGACTACAATTACAGCCCTTGCAGATTTGGATGAATACCACCAAAAACCTTGAGCTCGAAACATTAATCCAACCTCCACAAGTTCGAATCTCAGAACTCCTGTGGTGGCTAGATCGTCAAAATGTCATGCCAGGTATTCCACTAAATTACTCCTGCCCCCTACATCTACACAGATGCATCAGGAGCAGGTTGGGGTGCCCATATGGACGATGTTACCATACAGGGAAAATGGTCCTCCCAAGAGAAAGAGTTACACATCAAATTTCTAGAAATGAGAGCGATATATCTAGCATTAACAGCTTGGCTAGATCGTCTACACCACTCGTCAGTGAAGATCGCTACAGACAACTCAACCGTGGTCGCTTACATTCAGCACCAAGGAGGCACAAGATCTCAGCTTTTACTGAAGGAGGTCACACGTTTATATGCCTTGGTAGACTCAGTGAGTTGCAAGATCGAAGCAAGACATATACTGGGCAAGCTAAACATCCTAGCAGATTATCTATCCCGGAAGAACAAGATAGTACCCACAGAATGGTCACTACATCCCGAGGTGTTCAAGTGGATAACCCACCTATGGGATACTCCAAACCTAGATCTATTCGCCACATGTCTCAACAACAAACTACCAGTCTATGTCAGACCTGTACCAGACCCACTAGCACTCCAAGTCGATGCGCTCTCCATGGAATGGGAGGGAATGTTTGCGTACGCATTTCCCCCATGGACTTTTCTAGACAGAGTACTGAAGAAAATAGAGGAAACAGACTGTGTCATTATCCTCATAGCCCCGGCTTGGCCGAAAGGGCTTGGTTTCCAA